TTTTTTTATTTCCATCAATATTGCTCTGTATTTTCTCTGCTTCTTTTAATTTTAACCGTTCCTTGTTTTCTTTGACTACATTCTTTGCAACTAAGAGCATTATAGAATACCACTATTACAACAATCATTTTCTTATAAGTATCATTTCTGACCCACAACCTCTTTTACTTTATAGTTCCATCAAACATCCTTTTTATACTTCTCATTATGGTAGCTCCACGCACTTCTGTGCCACTTTATACCATAATTATTTTCAGTCATTTTTTTTCCTAAGGTCCACTCTTGACACAGCCAAATAATGGTCTGTCAACAATTCAGAACTTATCATCCTTGTATCCTTCACAAATTCTCTCAATCTTTCATCATGAACAAATCAATCATGTTTTAGATATACTGTATTCCTTTTTCATGTTTACTCATGAATAAATTATGCTTAAAACACATACAGTATTTCAAACAAATAGACCTTTCCTTAAGCAGTTATTCTCTAAACAGACACTACTCTTATTTATTCTTAGGTCTCCCAATGGCCCAATCATTTCTTCCATACTCTTTCTTCATATTCCCACAAATCCATTCGTGACACCTAATAGAATGTTTTTCTCCTGAATCACATTCATTCAGAATGTTACCCAATTTTTTCCCAACATTCAGCTTTGGGTCTTCTATTATCATTGTCCATTTGAGTGTAGCATGCAACTATCACTAACTTGTGAATCACTTTTTCATGTGCACTCACAACAATCTATGTGAAACTAATTCATACTTCTGACATACATTTTGGGTCTTTCATTTACAGTTGAACCCCATGTGTACTTGCTTTCCTGCATATATTCATCAACTCTACTCCACAAGATCAGATAATTTTCAGTCAAAGCTATTATATCTTTCCTTTTCATAACCACACAACTTATCCATTTTTCTTTCTCTCATTTTATTCATTAATTCATGCTCTATGCCATGTACTCCTCTCACATTCTAAATAGCAAACTTCCATATGCTATGATTGTCAACAGATGGGTCCATAGACATTGTTAGACTTCTCACTAAAATAGACGCAGGTTAGAGAAAGGACAATAGTTACCTACAATTGTTCAGTCCAAGGATGGCTTCTTGAGGAGGGGGCACACCACCACCTCTTTCAGGACAGGAGGTATTACCCCCTCCCTCAAAGAAGCTGACACCCCATAATAGACCCAAACACAGGTTACCTCTCTGCCTGCTCCACAACCCAGGAGGGGCCTGGACCCAATAAAGAGGTGGCCAAACTGAGAGCACAGAGAACCTTGTCCATTGCCCTAAAAGCTGGTGGTTCAAACTCTTCCCATGTCACAACACAAGACTGGGGCCCAGGCAGAGTCTAAGTTAAAACGGATCTGAGCAACTTTATCTGTGAGATAGCCAGAATAGTCCTCAGTTTCAGCCTGTATAGATATCAATTTCCACTGCCCATCTTAGGTCAATGAAATCTTTCTCATAAAACTTTTTAATAATATAGAAAGCTGTATCTGTGCCATATGTGGCATTCTTTTTTAATTATTAAATAGCATTGTTGAGTTTGGGGCATAATTTTGCTAGCATACCTCAAGTACAACCAATATGCAATTCTATCCCAAGCATGTTATTCTAAGCAATTGGGATCTCTAATCTAGGGACAGCCTTGTAAATCAATACAGTATTTGTTCCCCATATCCTGCTAACTAGGAGGTACCTGCAACTGATTGACAAACATTCAGGATGCTTTAATTTATTTTTCAGGGCAAATTAAAATTATTTGACTGGTTGCATACTTAGTAAGATATTCAGCTTCTTATTTATATTAAACTTAATATTTAAAATGAAAGCATGCAACCTAACAACAGGATAAAGTGAAGGAGGGAAAAACAAAAGGAGGGATGGAATACTATGGGTTAAATGTTATTAAACATACATTAAATGCATTTCAACAAAACTCCATGGGATATTTTGTGAGTTCACCTGATGAACGGTGATAGCCCTATTTTGCATTAAACTAGTAGCTTGCTTTAAGAAAATATAAAGTTACCTAATTTTTCAACAGTGTTCTCATTCATCTTGACGTTATCAAAAATAATTTTTTCCACATTAGCAAGAGTAGATATTCCATCAAGAAGGCCTCCTGAGAAAAGAATGTTTGGTTTAAGTGATTCATAACGATACATGGATAGATGGAGATGGATGAACAAACAGACGCCAATGATATTCATCCCAGACAGAAAAGGATCCATCCTCCACCCTATCTCTACATACTTCTCCATCTCCACCTTACCTCCACATACCTTCAAGGAACCTGGGGAGTGATTTATGCAGCGGAAAATAAAAGGAGGAGATTTTGAGCAAGCAGAAAGGTTTTCTCTCTTCCTTAAACACTGCTCAGGGTAGCATCAAAGTATATAAAATTGGTTAGGCTTTATCACCCATTTCCTTCAAGGGGAGTCAAGATGACTAAGAATAGATGCAGTAGAGGCAGGATAGGAACCAGCTGTAGGGATAGCAAATTTCATGCTGGTATAGCTTTCTGCCAACTCAAGTAAGGTTAGATAGCACAGATAGATACAAGTATTTATACTCCCTAGATACAAGGGAATATAAAGAGGCTTTTTGCATGGGGGTCTGGAAACTGCCAAGGCAATATACAGTTTTGGAATCACAATGAACATGTTATTTATTAAGGTTATTGTTCACATACCATGCTGGCTTTCACTTTGCAGGTCTTTTATCTTTATAGTTTTCAGTACCATCATTTTGGTTATCTGTTGCTCATCTTCTATGCTAAGAGGTGTGGACTCTACAACAAGGTCCTGCAGATTTGTACAGCTAATGAGGACTTCCCTCAACTTTCCTGTGAGGCCAGGACTTTTGTTTATAATCAGTCTCAGACTTGAGGCAGAGCAACATATTTTTTCCAGATACTTAACATCGCCCTTTTCTAACTGACTGAAATCTTTTAATGTAATTTCTAAACCGTTGAGCTTTTGATCCCAATTGAAGAATAAGGAGACTGCCTTTTCAGGGATGACTGTTTTCCATGTTGTCGTTGTAGAACATTCCTTTTTCTCCTCTTTTTCAGTTGATGAATTCCCAAAAAAGTCTAATTTGATGAGTTCTAGCACACTTACACAATTAGAAAAATAGTCAAAAAACCCACAGACATAGGTAGGAATGCTCTGGGTATTGATGTACAATTTTTTATCATGGAAGAATTCCTCAAACTCCTCCTTTACAGTTGTTTCAGAGATGCTTTCATAAAGAAATCTAATAGCACACTCCACAAATGAATTTTCCTGAGTCGCAATTAGCCCATCTTCTTCTTGAGCAATTTGTTCATATTTCTTGAGTTTTTCTGGAAATAAATCATGAGCAAAAGGCACTCCAAAAAGACTGCCCTGCTGATGAATGGCTGATAGATGCCTGATAATTTTTCTGGTGGCTCCAGAAGATGATCCACAGGTATACAAAAGTAAACTGTGGTAAGTAGTAATTATATCTGAGAAGCTGTAAATCCTTTGGAGATAACTGAATCCTCTGGTTACTTCCTCATCCCTATGGGATTCCAATAGTCTGGAAAGTCTCCTACCTGCAATATATTCTTGGAAAGATTTATGAAAAAATGTATATGCTTCTTTTAGTCTCTGAGCTGTGTACTTGTGCATGAGGCCTACAGCCAACAGCACTTGTTCTTTCACACTGGAGAAATCCTCAGGATGAAAAACAAATTTTTGCTCAAAGATTCCATCCAAAGCTAAATCTCCACAGTGGATTATGCTGAGCCGAAAATGTTTGTCAGTTGTCCCTCTGATCTTGTGCTTGTTTTTTCCTACCAGCAAATCATATAAGGTGGAGAACAGAGTGGTTTGTGTATGTGGAGTAAAAGTGGATTCTCCCATTTGGATGGCACAAGCAATAATCACAAATAAGGGGGTCTTCATGAGGTTCTCAAGCTGAGGCCCTGAATTCTGAAAAGTGGAATCTGTTTTCTCCAACTGAGACAGCAGGCCCTCAGCTAATGTGACTTCTTTCAATACATTTTTAACTAGTGTTTTTGCACTTTCCACAGTTAGATCGCCTGTCTCAGCAATCAGTGACCCAAACAGCCTCAATCTTCGAATTGACTCTGTCCTTGTAGTAACAATAACTGTGTTTTTGAACTTATGACTTTCTTTTATCAGTCCTTCTATTTCTGGGCAGCTCTGAGATTTGAATTCGTCATACCCATCTAAAAGGAAAAGGACTTTTTCTCCTAGCAATTCTAATATCTCCATAAAGTCCTCTTTACATATTCTATATTTCTTCCTAAGAAGCTGCTCACATATGGTTTCATACAGTCCTGCCTCTGTCCCGCTCAGGCTGATGAAGAAGACGAGCTTGAACCTCATCAAAGAAGGATGATCTTCATTAGCCCAGAGTAAAGCAATCTTTTTGAGGAGAGTTGTTTTTCCTTTCCCAGCTTCTCCCTCTATGATACAGGGGCTTTCAAGTTCATCTAAAAGGGCATTTAAAGGCATTTGTGCCAGTCGGGCATTGTGGATATCTTTCTTCCAAAGCAAGATATCTGTATAGGTATTCTTCAAGTTAAAGATGATATCAATTTCTTCTCCTAGTGGATGAAAATTTTCAAAGGATGGACGCATATAGAAGCTAGTCAATTCCTGAGCCAAGTAATCAACATCTTGTTGTGTAACTTGCCCAGCAGTATCTAAAACAAAACAGAAAGATCTGGATGCAATGCCACTAAAGGATATAATTTAATTGCTACACTATTACAGTACATACTAGAGGATCAGATAGAGAGCCAGCCTGCATCTTATACTAGATTTTAATTAGAGCGATCATCCAACCTGGGCTGTAAAAACCTTAATAGCCACTAGATGGTAGAAAACTCTTAACATTTTGCTGCCATTTAGTAATTATCTGGATTTTTGCAGCTCAGATCTTAGTTGTTTTGGAGTCCACTTCAAGTGCTAGTTCCAACTTTCAAAACCTTTCTCTGTTATGGAACAGGATTCTTAAAAACCACATGTTTCTATGTTTCTAATGTTGCATAAAAGTCTTCAGCGAAGGACTTTCTCCTGATGCCTCCTCCATCTTAGGTCAAAGAAAAAAAGGCTTGAGGTTAATTTGCTCTTAATGAAGCAACTAAATTTGAAAAATTGTCAATCATAATAAAACATACTTACTGTAAGAATATATATATAATGATAAATAATACAAAATATTGGCCACCTGTGTGGGAGAACAATTTATATACTAGAAATTGGACTGTAGTAAGAGTCATGGGTGTCATGTAATAATTTATCAGATATAAATAAATTGTATATCTACTTACAGGTTCCCTGTAGTTTCTGAAAAAGAAAAAAATCTGTTTTTTCCAGTGATCTCACCAAAAGATCACAAGCTTTGTCACCTTTTTTCAAAATGGAGTATATCAATTTTCTTGATGCATCCTGCCTTGGTTTTTGGCAAATGATACTATCTTTTTCTTCATGTGACAAAACAGATTTTGCAAAAAGACAATCTACAATTTTCTTGACAGTTCCCATCCCCATTCTTTGAATAAGCTGTTCACTGTTATTCTCTAAAAAATCCATTGGTGAGATCAGATGCTTCTTCCAATCTAGATCTAGTCAATTCTGTTAATGCATTGAATGATGAAACTTGGTTGACCTCAGGTCATAACACTTAGTCTGAAGGTAGAAATACAGCAGTAGAAATGGTTGGTAATCCTAGAGGAAATGCAAGGATTTTAACGATAAACATAAATGTCATAAATGCACACAGACTGAATTATTCCTGTACTATGATGCTAGTTATAAAAAATTAATTAAAAAAAATCTTTTTCCAAGTTTTAAATTCTGCATAGAATCTTCTTGGTTAAATGAAGCCATTTGCTCTGTGTGTGTGATGGGGATGTGAATGGTGAATTAATGTACCCATCCGTATTTATTTCCCTTCCTTGTATGCAGAGGTCCACAGCAAAACAGTGGAAAAGGTTGAACGCAGCAAAACCATCTTCTGCTACAAAATGCTCCAATGTGGTTTGTTTTGTGATGTGACTGTTTGCCAGCCAAGAAGACCCAATTCCTTAAACAGTCTCACAACAGTGAACATTAAAGGAATAAATTTCTCAGGGGACATACAAAAATCTTAAGAGCCAACTCGACCCTTTTGACAAGAAGATATGCTTAAAGCAGCAAATGCACTGTTCTGTTAACTAGCAGCAATCTGTCAAATATACATTATAGGTTTTTTTTGAACTAGGCAACCAGACAACATTTAGATTTTCAATGTCCTGCATCAAAATATCTTGAGCCATCTCGGAATGCTACACTTACAGTTGGCTCAACTGATAGGCATTCAAGAGATCTGTGTAGGAATAAAAGCAGTAAATATGACACAGAGCTGGTACCAGCACTTGGTACCCTTAGGCAGCAATTAAGGCTGCAATCCAATTTATGGTTACTTGGGGATAACCTGATTAAACAAGAAGGGGGGAAATGCAGGTAACTTCGCAGGCAGCTGCTCAATGGTTATCTTCCAGCTGCAAAGTTCATTTGTACAGTTCAGTTTCATCACTGATAAAATGTATTAAGCCTCTGGAGCACTGGGCATGGGCATGCTCTTGCTCCCCCCCCCATAAAATAAAAAAAAACATTTTGAGCAAGGGGGAAAAAGTAGTTCATTGAAGGAACTGTGAGAAGGAAATCAAATTCTTCCCCCCCTCCATGTCAGCAGGAAGTCAAAGCTTCCCATTTGTCTCACCCTACCATTGTTTATCTTAACA